TCACATTTTATGTCTAGTGAATAAATGCGAAAACAAAAGGGCTCATTCACATGGCCAAACATGCAAAAACAAAACAAATAAAATTAAAAACGTATGGCAGGATCACCTGAAGCTTCTCCAGTGTTTTGGATAACGATGAAAAGATCCACATGATAAAACATGCATCCAAAAGTGCCACCGGTAGAACCAAAAAGAGCCTAGCTTTCCCTGAAAAATCATTTATATTCCCCAAATGCTCGACTAGCTCAAGGGCTTCTGATGCCCAAAAATACACCACGCCAAGAAGAATCACTTTCGAGGTTATGCCCCCCAATGTCGGCCTCATCACACCATAACCCATTGAAACCACAAGCAGAAGAAGTCTCGACACAGTTTTCTTGATTGCAGTAAAAGTAACTGCCCAAAGTGTAATCCCGATTGGCCTACTTCCAGTCGCATTAAAATTGGCATACTCATAGTACCAAAAAGCCATCTCGCACATCCCTAGCCCAATAACAGCTGTTATTTGATAATGCAGATATATTATATCCTTCCAGTGTTGAACAAACCTCACAAACCATAACAGGCCAAGAACAAGGTAAGCTAAGGACATGAACCCGTAAAACGTCATTAGTGGTGCCATTTTGCCCGGTAAATAACCAGCAGGATTTCTCCAGACTGTTCGGCCACTAATTAAAGTGCCCTTTAGTTCAGGATCACAGACCATGAAATAAAGATAGTACATGCCAGTTTTGTTTATCTCGACTGTTTGGAGCACCATGCTAGCCTCCTCATTGTTGCCCTCGAACGATGTTTGTAGCCTTTTCGGCCATTCCGGGTTTTCGGGATCTTGATGGATGATAACTTCACCGACTTTGCAAAATCCGTCTTTGGCGAGGGAAGGGTCGCAACATATGGCGTTGGAGTTTTGGAAAGCTTTACCGATTTTGTCACTATCTTTGATCTCGACGATTATGGCCTCAACAACTCCAGTACTTTGTTGCATGGCGTTTTGCTTGCTGGCTACCTCCTTTGGCCTTCTAAATGTGATTGATTCAAATCTGAAAGAAGAAGAAAATGGAATAGAGAACAATCAATTTCGTGTATTGTTTTTCTTCATCTTTTTTTTTTTTTATTTTTTAATTATGGATGATTTAACTAATGAAGCTGTAGAAATTATTTGGGTTCATAAAAGAAATATAAATTGCATAGTGTCACAATTCATTTCTCAACAGATTTATAACTATAAGCATAGCCTTTAATTTTCACTGATTGTTTTGATGAATGCTAATACTGCAATTGACAACAACATAAAAAGCGAAATAGTTAAATCTACTTTCTAATGAAGGTAAACTATATAATATTAAATATAATGATAACATATAATCTTGACAAATCTATTTCATTAAATATTAGCAAGCACAACACCTGCACATGGTCAATAAACATTTAAGTTAATTATCAAGTATATGTCTGGCCAGTAATGGAAATTCCATGTGATGTCAAAAGTTCTATTTTGTAACATCGGAACCTCCATTGATACACTCACAAGAAAGGTTAAAGAATGTATATTACAACAAACAGAACTTGAAAGATAAGTTACTGGTTTGATATCAACCACAGCTCACAAGTAAGGTATTAGTGACGTATTCAGTCACACATTTTTTACCCAACAGACCAAATTGCATTTGAATAATGTATCATATTTCTTCAGCTTCAAACCAAACACTTCAACCAGTAATGAATGTAAACTGCACGTTGCACAACATAGATTTTCTTCTGTCGGATGTGTCTCATCTATCTAGTTATACGCTATTGACAGATGTTTATCGTGTCACAGCATGCTTATAGCTCAACCCACTTTTAATCCTAAATTCAGATGTTTCATGTGTCAAATTCTCATCAGCACTAATCTTTGTAGCAGACATGCACATAACTTGGCATACCTGCCGAAAGCTTGGCTGCATCCTCACAAAGCCACAACTCGGAAAAGCCAAAAGAAATGAACATTCTTCAACAATAATAGAAAATTGGAATCAGTATATGAAACATTCATAGAAAACACCAAACCAAAAACCCAAGCACACTGCACACCCAAATAATCACCCAACAAACCAACAAACAGAACCCTATAAAACCAAACAACATAAAATCATTAAACATCAATAAAGATGACCCAAACAAAAGAACAGGAAACAGAACCAAACAGAACAATCAACATTATTCAACAAAGGCCAAAGAAGCTTCTGGATACCTAATGAACGATTTCCCATTGAGGGGTTTGTTGCTATCATCGTTAGCAGGTGTTTTGGGCGGGTCAATGATATTGGACGCGTAGAGCCCCTCGCTGCCGCCATGGAAGAAGTAGGAATTGAAACGACGGGTGAAAGCTTCGTTCTTGTACTCATGGATCGACGCGCTCACCCGATTATTTTCTCCCACAGAGAACAATAGCAACAAAACCCCAAAAACTACTGGAATTTTATCTCTTCCCATGAGCAACAGATCACACTGCGCGCCTCTCCTAAACACCATATCCCCTTTTTCTCTATATGCACAAGATTCGCTCGACTTTTAGAAGAAAAAAAAAAGTATATATATAACTAAGTAAATAACTGAATAAATACGTGGGCTTTTAGTCTTATATCGGCTATGGCATAAAAATGAAAACTCGAATTTGTTAGGGATGGAGGATGAAGATGAAGATTACCAGCTGCGAGTATATCAGTGTTCTTGTTCTTATTAAGCAGCCTGTTGCTTGTGTTTTTCTTCTTGTGGAACTTTTTCTTTATAGAATTTGCTTTAAAGACGTTAATTAAAATTATTTAATTCCCCTTTCTAGGAAACAAAATCAAATTTGTTGCATCATAGACTCATAGTATGTACATTAAAAAGGGAAACTAAAGTCTAAAGTCACTTTAAGAATGGGATAGAAAGTAATAACTAGGAGGCATATTTTCCTTTTATTTTTCAAATCTTTCTACTTGCTCCTATTTCTTAAACTCATAGTAGTACTATACATCGTATAAAATTAAGTGTATTAGATAATTATTTTTTAATAATTTTTATTCCAATTGGCCAAACTTAACACTACTTCTTATGATCAAAATGAAAGTATGGCAATAAAATAGCAATTAGCATGAATATGATAGAGGTAATGGTTAACTACAAGAATTATTGAATAATTAGAAGTTTATGCATTGAATTTCATTTATTTTAAACAAAACTCTTGACTTAACTTTAAAAAATATCGTCTAATATAATTTGTTGTATGAATGGAAAAATCAATCATTAACGTGTTAAACGAAACGAGTTGCTCGTGAGTTAAACTTGTTAAGGCTCGAATTCGGTTCAACTCATTGAAAGTTTGTTTAGTTAACGAATCGAACACAAGTCGGCTAACTAAGGTAAGAAAATAATAATTCTATAATATGCTGTAATTTGACCCGCTAAGACTCAACCCGACACGTGATTCTTTAATAAACGAGTTCAGATTGATTCGTTTTGGCTTGTTTACGCTCCTATCATCAACAACTTTTTCTTCTAGTTGTCATGATTTTTTAGTTCCTATAATTTCAAAATTCTTTTCGATTTCGTACTTTTGAATTGAATCAATATTATATCCCATATTCCATTAATTATAATACTTTTGAATTGAGATCACATCAGATTGACTTTTTTCTTATTTCTTTTTAATGAACATCAACTGTGAGATTTTGTATTGTGATATAATATGCTCGCTGGTGGTACTATTGTGTTAACATGAAAAGAAAAAAACCGTAAAACAAGAGGGATATCAACCTCACGTTTTATGATTTTGTGATACTTAGTGGACTTTTGCCAAGGTTTGTTTAGACTTTATCTCAACACGAAAATTCGTTACAATATACATCAAATACATAACATCACTTTTATTGTACATTAACTTTATACATAATATAAATCAATAACTATTTGACGAAGATGTATGTTATTGTGCTAGAATTCATACTAATTATACATCAAATAACAATATACATCAAATGTCTACATTAACTATCAATTTCCAATTTTTTTTTCTAAAAAGCATGAATTGATGATAAATATAAAGTACCAAAATAACATTAGTTTAGACCAACAGGGTCCACGATATAGTAATTATCATATTTATGCCATCCCACAATTACAATAAGATCCTTAAAAGGTATGTTGATCACTTGGCTAACTAAACAACATAAACAATTTGTAGGAGGGGGTGTAATAAAATATTAAGCTAATTAATAAGACAATCAACATTCAACATGGGAGTTTCAATTATCCTTAAATATAGACATTAGTCCAGCTAACCCATAATGTCAATGCTAGTGCATAGCACGAGAAAATAATATTAAATAATAACTATAAGTTAAAGATGCAGGTAAATAGCATTAAATAATAATAATAAATTAAATATTTAGGATTAAAATGTGATATAATTTACGTATATCGGTTTGTTGTACAATATAAAGTTACCATGTACAAAAGAACATAAAATATGTTTAAAGTATTAAAAATACTTAAAATAACATATGTAAAGATATCTAAAATATTCTACATTATCCTTAAAAAATGTTAAAGTCACCTAAACTTCCACTAAACTATTTTGTAAAGACAAAATGTCTAAAAACACCTAAAGATCAAAACTTTAATATATAGAATGGGCAAAAAATAAAAAAAATAAAAAAAAATCTAAAAAGTATCTAAAATATTATTTGAGTAAATAATAAGAATTACAATCTAATATCTCACGTTGAACTTTATGAGAGAATATTTACATAGTAGATATGTCTATATGTCTTGTATACCAGTTTTATATTGTTACTATCAACACTGTCTATATGTAATGTATCGTTTGTCAAGTGATTTTGATTATATCTCTTTTATCATATTTTGTACCGATCCATTCATTAATTCTTATTTTTTTTTATTATCAATTTCACGAAAATATATTATACGAATTTGTGTATATCTCGCAAATGGTAACGCATTTAGTATGAAATACATAATTTGGAGCATTTTTGTTAGAAAAAATTATTATTCCTTGCATTGGTATATAATACATAAACTTATGTAGAAATTTCAGAAATTTTCATTTTGTTGAAAAATTTTCAAATGATGAAAAACTATAAAATAAAAATATAATTATTAAAATCAATATGATATAAAATAATAAAATATAAATTTAAATGGTTGAAAATTAAAATATCAAATGTGTAATAATATTATTTTAATTGTTAGGTTTGTAGTAATATTATTTGATATCCATTCACAATCTTATTGGCAAAAATTTTAATTTTTCTTCATAAATCTAATTAAACAAAAAATGATTAATCATTTATCTTCATTATTCATATCATATATTATTATAAATTTGTTACTAAGATAAAAATGGATTTTTTTATTTCTACCTTTGAAATTTAAATATAATAAATTCCATGATTTATGGTAGCATTAAATGCGGCCTAATTTTTTTATTAAAAAAATAATAAAAAAATCTAAAAATATAATGTAATTAGTATTATCAGATTTTTTTGCTTACTATTTTTAGTAAATAATAATTCTTATTATTATATATATAAAGATATAGGTCCCGTTTGGAAGATAGCGGATTGAAGATAAATTAGCGGATTTGACTTAATTGAGAAGTTTGACCCGTCAAATCCGCTATTGAGTTTGTTCGGTAAATAGCTTATTTGATAAGCTTTTTGGGCCCAAAACTCTAATTTAGAAAAAGCTCATTAGAGCAGCTTTTTGGGATAGAGGATTCACAGTTAAGAGGTTTTACTTGGAACTTTTTAATGTGTCTTATTTATTTTATAATTTACATTGGTTTATGGAGCTAATAAATAATAATATGTCATCCATATGATTAATTTATCTAGAAAAATGTAAAATTCATAACTTCTTCATCAAGTGTTAGTAAATTTTAAAAAAAAATATATTTATAAATTACCAACTAAAGAATATTAAATGTTTTAATGTATTATTATTAAAAGAATACACTCTAAATAATAAAATATCCTTATTGGTCATTTTGCAATGTCAAACAGCTATAAGCTTTCAGCTATTTACCAAACACTTATTTAAAAACCGCTAATGCAATCCGCTGGTCAAATCAGCTAATATAATCCGCTATCCGCTATCCGTTGATACAATCCGCTATCCGCTATTCGCTATCCGCTGATCGCCAAACAAATAGCCATGTTTGTTAAATGGCGTTTCGGCAAATTAACTGTTTAAGTAAAATAGCTGTTTGACTTTTAAAACATTCCATTTAAGCCTTGGATCCATCTATCTCATTAGAGCCCAATCTCATCACAATTTGGCCTTGTGTACAAATTGTGCACCAAAAGCTTCTAAACAAAGATGAGTTTCATATGTTGTATACTTGAATTGTGTTCTCCCATTTTAATGGGCTACATTTGCTTTATCGCTATAACGCCACACTATAAAAAGAATATCAAATAATATAAAAAGCATCAAATTATAACAAAATATATACAATAAAATAAATTTTAATAAAAGTTCCTACAAATATTTCAATATTATGAGTTATTCAAAGTTACTAGGGTTAAACCCGTGCTGACAATGTGGTTCTATGATAATTATTTTAGTAAGTTATTATTAATTTTAAGTTTATGTTTTTGCAAATCAATTTAAAAAAAAATAAAATTTATTTCAATATATTGCAAATATCTTTATAAATAGATTGATAGCATGATCATATATTCACAAATTAATATTTTTAAATCAATATCAATGTTTACAATAGCAGGAAATAGAGTTTTTTCACTTACTGGAAAATATTTATAAATGAATTTGTCGTTAAAATATAAAGAATTCAATGTACATTTTGTATTTTACATTTATGTCGCATGTTACTAATTTTTTTATACAAATACGAAATGATTATTATTATTACATAATAAACCATTAAAGCTACAATTGAAAAACTTTACTCAAATAACCTTAATGGCAGTCAACAATTTTATGTTAATGATAGAACTTCATTCAATTTGAAATGGTTATTATTATTATGGATCGTGTAATCTGGAGTTGCAGACAATTTTTCTCAATTTTTTTATGTTGTGAAAATCAAGAATTTATTTATTAATACTTCATTTTACAAACCAATCTTTTTCAGTGGCTATTAGCAATAATTATGATCAAACGAGGGTTCACCCATGAGGGTTTTTAAGTGGAGCTAGCAATATTCTTGTTATTGCTTCGACTCATCTTCCCGGAAATTAGTAGTAAGTATATCTATAATATAATGTGAGTGCTTGTGTTCCTGTATGATAGACATGTCATGGTATTTGATTTTTCTCGATTTCTCAATCTTAAGTTTCAGAAAATCAATAATTTGACCAGAAAAATTAAATTTGTGAATTAGTAAAAAGACCAACAACAATTCAAAGTCTAAAAAAACATGGTGTATCTTTATTTATTAATACATATTTAGAACAAAAATATCATGTTCAATGGGCGAACCACTTCTATTTTCTCGAGGAGCCATGATAATAGTAACACGTCATATAGAACGGCATAATAATGAAAGGCGTTAAAAAATCAGAACATATATAAGCTAATATTTGACAATAAATGTACCTCGAAATCATGAAAAAAGCACTTAATAAAGTGAATCACAATTTTCCCATGAGTGTAATCCTTTCGTACATCCTAATTAAACAAAGCTCAACACCTATTGTGGCAATGAGTCCGTCAATTTTTTTATCGGCACAAAGAGGGGAACCATTTTTTTTAAGCTTTTTTGAGGACGTGTAAAATATGTTTTTTGCGTTTCGATCATAATATTAATCTTATTCATTGTTATATAATCACACCACTCGTAAAGATAGTAATATGTTTATATTA